TATATATATATATGTAAATACATGCACATGAACTGTGTGTATGTAATTTTTCTTTGGGCTCTACCGAAAACCAAGTGAGATTGTTAATTCACGTGCAGCAACCTCCACGCCTCTAAGATCTAACACTGAAAGAGACTAGAATGAATGTCTCCTTCAGCACTTAACATGCTTAGTAAATTGCTTGAATTATTCCCATTAAAGCACACATTTCTATGATAATGACTGCACTCATTTTCTTGAGGAAACCAGATGCCAGAAAGCGCCTTCTCTCAGGATCAGCTTTGGCGCATATGAATGTGCATGTGACAGCTTGTTTTCCACGTTGTCACTTTTTCTTTTAGACTACCATTCCTGGATTGTACCTAAAGGCAAGGAAGATAGTCTTCCTTTCCTGCTCTATTGAACACCTTTTACTCCCCTGCACCCAAGCCAAAGGTCATTGAATTTAGTTGTTTGAAATTTTTTATTAAAGTATTGATATAAACAACTGCATCACTTTTGCAGATCATTAGACCAGTTTTTTATTCTGCTTCTTCAGTATTACAGTCGAAATGTCCAGTTTTTCACTTTACTTCTGGTGTTGTCTTAGAAGGAGATTGCAAGGTTAGCATTTGATGAGGGTTTCCTTTCTACACTGTCACAATGATAATGACCTGTTTTTCAACACTGCATGTATTTGCCTGTAGCTTAAAATACTCGTTTTTATATATACTATTTTTGATGAACAAGGGAGCAGAATACTTCAATTTGAAATAAAATCAATTTCAAGATTATGAAAATGAACTCTGAGAGGAAAATTTCTTGCCAAATGTGACACAAAAGTTACAAGTGACTGAATGGAGTGCTTAGAGAGGCAGAACTGTGTTATACTTGTATATGCACTTATGAGTTACAGACACAGTCATAGACACACACACACACACACACACACACACACATTCAACACAAACATTTATCAGAGTTGAAGTTCATCAATATAGTAGTGACTCTATTTGAATTAGAAACCTCATCATGTTACATTAATTATTCGGCTTGCCATTTCTCATGAGACACATATGTAAAATATGTATATATAAGCCCATGATCAATAAGATTTTTTATGCACTAAAGGAAATTTATCAAAAAATTATTAGGGGTAAAGCATTGTGATTTTTTATTGTCTTTAACTTTTAGGATTGAGTGTACTTTAAAATTATTGCTCCCTTATTATTGTTCATTAATAATTTTTCATGTTTTATATTACTTTTAAAAATATCTTATTTCAGCTGGGCTTTGTGGTGCACACCTTTAATCCCAGCACTTGGGACGCAGAGGCAGGCAAATCTCTGTGAGTTCAAGGCCAGCCTGGTCTACATAGTGAGTTCCAGGACAGTTGGGGCTACAAGGACACCCTGTCTCAAAAAAACTAAAAAAAAAAAAAATTATACTTCTCATTTTAATTTTATATGTATGAATGTATTGTGTGCATGTGTATAAAATGCACCCTTGTAGAGCAATGCCTGAAGAGGTCAGAAGAAGGTGTCAGATCCCCTGGAACTGGAGTTATAGATGGTTGTTAGACACCATGTAGGTACTAGGAATTGAACCTGGGACCTCTGCAAAAGCAGTCAGTGCTCTTAACTGCTGAGCCATCTCTCCAGCCCTGTTTTATATTACTTAAAACGTTTGTATAATTTTCTTAAAAAGGGGTACTATGAAGCCTTTTGAAGCAAACCAAGTGTATTATCCCAAGACAAAAAGATGTTACAATATGTTACAGGCACGGAACTCATGACAATGGTGATTATTTACAGCCTTAAAATCAGGACTAAATAGCTTAGATTTTACATGGATAAAGTTAGCTCCATGTTCTGTTCACTTACCTGACTTCTTAAGTATGGTGCTGGCCTATATGTATACATTTCATTATTACTCTGAAGCTTGATAGGCTGTGGAAGTGAAGGTAGATTTCTGCGGAAATATAGAGGTCTGCAATGTCCTCTAAGTGCTTTCTATGAGTTAAACACAGATTCTTAGCCTACTGCATGATAATGCTTTGAAATTTTTGCACATTTTCATACAGTCATGTCAACCCAGTTGTTTACAAAAGTAATTTTGAGGAGGGGTTCTCAAGATTGCTGACATACATTCTGCCCAATACCAGTAGATTCTGTGTCATTTATTAATGTTTGTTGTTTTCCTTTTTTCTTTTACAAATATTCCTCAACTTCCACCATGTTTTAAGATACAGTGTAGACTCACATTTAAAAGAATGAAGCAATATATGAAATTTTTTAACTTAAGGAACTTATATTCCATTGGGTGGAGAGGGAGACAGAAGAAAGTAAAGTTTAGATGTGTGTGTATGAAAGAGAGAGAGAGAGAGAGAGAGAGAGAGAGAGAGAGAGAGATCATATGAAACATTGAATAGTGTGGGAAAACACTTATGCAATAGAAGAAACAGAGAATGGCCGGGAACAAAGGTTTTAGTGCTCTAATAGTATATTTGAACAAGACCTGAGTCAAGTAGGATTAGAGCCTGAGGATTCATGAAGGCAGAGTTACCCTGAGAGATAAATACCAAAGCTGAACTGATAGAGCATAACATGCTTAAGGATCAGGAATTGAGTTAGCACTGAGCACACTGCTGTCCAGTTGATTCAGAGGGGAAAATATGTAACAAAGATGTAACAAAGAGCATACAAAACAATGTTTTCTGCTTATCCGGAGGACTTTGCATTTTATTGTAAATGAGCTGGAAAAATCGAGGAGGGGGTGGAGACAGGAGTGACAGAGCAGAGGCTCCTTCTGCTTGCTGCCTGGAATAAGATGAATCACAAAGCAAGAGCAGATTACTTGAGAATGTGTTTAGTGACCCGGCTGGCAGTGGCTGCCGTGGACACAAGGTACGAATATGAAGGGGTTGTGATCAGGAACACACGTACAGCCTGATAGACAGACATGGATGTAAGAGCAAAGGAAGTCTCCTGGCAACACCTGAGAAGCAGAATGCTGCTGCTGCTCACAGAGCTGGGACCAGGAGAGGAGAGGCAGGGCAGGCAGTTCTACTGGTTTATATAAATTTCACTTTTCCCTCCAACCTAGCCATTGATGGCAACAAGTAAGCAATTAGTAAATTGTTTTAAATTATTTTATAACAGGAAGGAAGAATAAAAGCATTGACAGCAATAAGGAAAGTTTCAAAACATGCGACATATTCTGATACTCAGTAATTTATTTGCTACATGTGGTCACAGCAAGGACTTTTGTACCCATCCTTCAGATTCTAAACAAAATTAATTTTGTTGAGATCTATATATTCATAATATAATTTAGAATGAATAAATATCAGGTGAGATATGCCAAAAAAAATATGAGTTAGTAGCTGGGTGTGGTGTCACACATCTTTAATTCCAGGAGGCAGAGGCAGGCTGATCTTGTGAGATTGAGGCCAACCTGGTCTCTATAGTGAGTTTCAGGTAAGCTGGAGTTACAGCTGAGAAAAAAAAGCATATATTAAATTGCAGTTTAATAAATAATAACATTAGGATGGCATCCGACATTGGTATCCTTTTTTGACCTGTCTCAAAAAAGGACAGAAAGAAAGAACGAAAGAAAGAAAGAAAAACAAAGAAAGAAACAAAGAAACAAAGAGAGAGAGAGAGAAGAAGGAGGGAGGAAGGAAGGAAGGAAGGAGTTAGTTTAGGATGGACAGGGTGATGGCACACACTTTTAATCCCACACTCAGGAGGCAGAGGTGAGTAGATTTCTTTGAGATGGAAGCTAGCCAGCTCTACATACAGAGTTCCAGCCCTGCTCAGGCTACAGGGAGACCCTGTCTCAGAAACCCAAACCCCCATCAAAACCAAAAACTGAGTTATACTAAAGAAACATTAATTTCTTAACACATAACAAAAGGTGTTAAAGAGAAGCAAAAATGGACTATAATAAATATTACTTTTACAAAAGAAAAAAAGATTATATTTTAGTGCATGATTTCTATATAACTAGGTATTAAGACAAATGAATGGATGTTTCATTTGCAATGTATAATGGCATCCTAATGTTACTATTTATTAAACTGCAAGTTAATATATGCTTATTTTTCTCAGATCCAAGATTCATCAGTGCCCATCTCATCCCAGAGAGTGACAACCCAGAAGATGACAAAGTCTATTTTTTCTTCCGGGAAAATGCGATTGATGGAGAGCATTCTGGAAAAGCCACTCATGCTAGAATAGGTCAGATATGCAAGGTGAGGTAATGAAAAAACAAGCGTTTTTCAATCACAGTATCATTTTTTTTAATTCCATTTAGGTAAAAATACAATGGAAAATAGTTTAAATATAGCTAACAACAAATATTTAAATGTTAAAAATTGATTGAAGTTACATTATAAGTAATTGCTTTTGAGACTTTTAAGGATAAACTTCAAATAGGAGATGAATAGAAAGTATGATGTAACAATGATGTAACATTGTTTCATAATCATATTAATGATCTTGCTTTAAAGTTCTAGATATATGAAAGATGCATAAAATATCACCTGAGAGTATATACTTAGAATTGGAATGTGGATAAAGTGCTGATTGAAGAAAGAAAAAAAAAATCACAAACCTTACTTTTAGAATTTGATTTTAGATCATATATTTCTGAGACTTTTCTGGAATATTTAATTCCATGTGTTTTATGATATTCAGCATAATATTATATTATAGTGTTAGATATATAGAATAAAACTATCTATGGGGGTTTTCTTGTCTTCAAACCCACCATAATCTAACTACTTATCTCTAACATGATCAATTTCTACAAAAGCGTTTTTAGTTATCTGAAAGCATATGAACAATATGTGAATAGATGAGACCATTTACTTTAGAAAATTAAATAATTTTTAAATAGACACTAGAGGAGGCTGGAGTCAAAGCTTAGTAGTTAAGAGCACGTACTGCTCTTGTAAAGGACCTCGGTTCTATGACCAGCACACACTGTCAGTAATTGCAGCTCCAGGGAGTTCAATACCGGTTCTGGCCTTCATGGTTACCATAAGCATGCACACAGAAATCCACATACTGACACACATCTTACACAGACTTTTTGGTAACATTTTAACTACAAAGGTTAAAAATCTTGCTGGGCATGCTGGCGCACACCTTTAATCCCAGGACTTGGAAGGCAGAGGCAGGTGGATCTTTGTGAGTTCAAGGCCAGCCTGGTCTACATAGCGAGTTCCTGAACAGCTGGGGCTACAGGGAGACCCTTGTCTCAAAAAAGACAAAAGAAAAAAAACAAAACAAAAAACACCCCAAACTTTATAGTAAGAACAGTATGCAAGCAAAATATAAATAAATGTTATATATTTGAAGGAAACTATATGAATTTTCAACATGTGTAATAAATATTATTTTAAAGATAGTAACTGGTAGTAAATATATAACTTTGTAATCTACTTCACTGTTTCATTTGTATTGGTATTAAGTCTTATTTTCAGGAAAGAGACACTTTCAAATTATTTTCTCTGGAATTAGTTACCTTTAGTAAAGTTTGTGAAAATATTTTTTTCAATCTGCTGTTTGTGACATATACATTGTGTCAACACTTTAAGCTTTTAAATTATTTGATTTTAGTATTATGTCTTATTTATTTATTGTCCATACTAACAGAAAGACATGCCTTTATCATCCACTCAATAAATGTTCACAAAATGCCTACTGTATAGCAAGGACCAACAGTGAACTAGCCACGCATGTAGGAAAGACTTTATTTAAAAAGAAAAAAAGTGAGCGGTAAGTTAATGGGGAGATCTGTCCTAACACAAAAATGACACAGAAGTAATAATAGATTATTTCAGACTAGTTACAGAGTGGAAGTGCAAAACAAGTTCTTTAAAAATTGTTTCTAAAAACAAATAAATTTGTATCTCTTTACTGTGCACAACATAATATTTTGAAATACACATGGATGGCAGAATGGCTTAATCAAACAAATTAACACATGCATTACCTCACATATTTTTCATTCTTTGTGGCAAGAATTCTTAAAATCTTTCTCAGGGAATTTTTAAGAGTATAACATTAGGGGTTTGAGAGAGAGCGCAACCATTAAGAGCACAGACTGCTGTTGCAAAGGACCCGGGTTCGATTCCCAGCACCCACGTTGTGGCTAAGAACCATCTTTAGCTTCATTTCCAGGGGAATCTGAAGCCCTCTTCTGACACAGGTGCGCTTACATTCATACAGGCAATACACTCACACACATAAAATAAAAATAATGAAGAAAATATTTTAATATTTTTTAAAAAAGAATAAAACATTAAATTAGCTACAACCACCATGCTCTATAGTAGAAGTCTTAAAATTATTTCTTTTATCTATCAAAATTTTTGTATACTTTGGGCAGCAAGTCCCAAAATCTCACCTTTCTCCTAGAGCCTTGTAATCACCATTCTGTCCTCTGCTCCTGAGAGTACACAGTTTTACACTCACACATGAGTCATGTGATATTTATGTTACTATGCCTGGCTTAATTTACTTAACACATCTTCAAGGTTTAACCATGTCAAATGGCATCATTCTTTTTAGTGCTGAACGATATTTCATTGTGTATGTATCCCATTAAAAATATGTTTGTTTTTATTTTATGCACATAAGTGTTTTGCTGCAAGTATGTACGAGCACCATGTTGCACCTGGTGCCCATCAAGCGAGAGGAACTGGAGTTACAGATGGTTTTGAGCCACAATATGAATACTGGGAACCAAACCTGGGTCCTCTGCAAGAACAGCCAGTGCTTTTAACAACTGAGTCATCTCTCCATTTCATATACTAAATATTTTAGCACCCTCTTCTCATTGATGAACATAAAGTAACTTTTTTAAAAAGACATTTATTGTGAATGTTTACTTTAAGAAATGTTTACTCAAATATTTGAGTAAAAATACAAGAAAAAGATGATTATTTATATCCAATCATTTAAAATGACAGTGAAAACCAGGTGTGGTGGCTCAGGCCTTTAATCCCAGCACTCCAGAGAAAGGCAGGCAGATTCTTGTGAGTTCAAAGCCATCCTGGTCCACATAGTGAGTTCCAGGCCAGCTGGGGCTACAGAGACACTCTGCCTCAAAAATATCAAAATAATAATAATAATAATAATAATAATAATAATAAATGAATGAATGAATAAATAAATAAATAAAATGACAATGAAACATTGGAGATATGACCTCATGGCTGGACATTAAGGTTCTCCTCCTCCTCCTCCTCCTCTTCCTCTTTCTCCTCCTCTTTCTTCTTTTATAATGGAGCAATGGGGAATGGCATTTTATGTGTCTCCAGACAGGAAAAGGAGATATATATGACACTATTGCTTACATGCTCACTCTTGAGAACTGTTTTTATTTCTTTTCAGAATGACTTTGGAGGACATAGAAGTCTCGTGAACAAGTGGACAACATTTCTGAAAGCGCGCCTGATTTGCTCTGTGCCTGGTCCCAGTGGCATTGACACCCATTTTGATGAACTGCGTGAGTGGCTGGTGTTTGCTGCATAGGATATTTTTACACATTGCCACAATCATAAAAAAATACAACTTTTCCAATTTTGTTTTCAAACAGAGGATGTATTCCTAATGAACTCTAAAGATCCTAAAAATCCTATTATCTATGGCGTGTTTACAACATCAAGGTAAATAATATTTTATTATCCCATTAGAGAAATTATGTATTCTTTAGTGGCTTTAGGAGCATCCATAATTTGTGAATATATATTTTTAAGGGACAATGCTGATTTACTTTCTGAACTACTATGCACCTTTGATAGTTAAAATACATTGTGAGTAGTTTGTTGCTATAAATAAATAGATAGATGATTGATAGATAGATGGTAGATGGATGATATGATAGACAGATAGATGATAGATATAGATAGATGATAGATGATAGATAGATAGATGATAGATAGATAGATAGATAGATGATAGATAGATAGATGATAGATAGATAGATAGATAGATGATAGATAGATAGATGATAGATAGATAGATAGATAGATGATAGATAGATAGATGATAGATAGATAGATAGATAGATGATAGATAGATAGATGATAGATAGATAGATAGATAGATGATAGATAGATAGATGATAGATAGATAGATAGATAGATGATAGATAGATAGATGATAGATAGATAGATAGATAGATGATAGATAGATAGATGATAGATAGATAGATAGATAGATGATAGATAGATAGATGATAGATAGATAGATAGATAGATGATAGATAGATAGATGATAGATAGATAGATAGATAGATGATAGATAGATAGATGATAGATAGATAGATAGATAGATGATAGATAGATAGATGATAGATAGATAGATAGATAGATGATAGATAGATAGATGATAGATAGATAGATAGATAGATGATAGATAGATAGATGATAGATAGATAGATAGATAGATGATAGATAGATAGATGATAGATAGATAGATAGATAGATGATAGATAGATAGATGATAGATAGATAGATAGATAGATGATAGATAGATAGATGATAGATAGATAGATAGATAGATGATAGATAGATAGATGATAGATAGATAGATAGATAGATGATAGATAGATAGATGATAGATAGATAGATAGATAGATGATAGATAGATAGATGATAGATAGATAGATAGATAGATGATAGATAGATAGATGATAGATAGATAGATAGATAGATAGATAGATAGATGGATGGATGGATAGATAGATAGATGATAGATAGATAGATGGATGGATGGATGAATAGATAGATAGATAGATAGATAGATAGATAGCATAAATATTAGGAGGTTGATAAGGTGGCTTAGCAAGTAAAGGTGCCTGCTGCCAAGGCTGATGACTCATGTGGAATCACCTGAACCTATGTGACTCCCACAAGTTGTTCTCTGACTTTCACATGCCCTGCATATGGGCACACATGCACGCACATATATATACACACACAGATGTGTGTGTGTATGTGTGTATGTGTGTGTGTGTATGTGAGAGAGAGAGAGAGAGAATAAATATAAAATTTTAAATTATTTGGGAAGAATACCACCACTGTAACTATGACAGTGAAGCAGTTGGAGGATGTATATTTTATCTTATGTATAAAGTGGACTTTAATATTGTACTGAAATGTGAATTACTATTAAAATGAAAATCTGAGTTTTGGCCAGTCTTTAGTGATATAAATAAAAGCTGAATAAACTTAATTTAGTTCAATAACGATTGTCTAGCATTCTCTGTAGTCATTTCTTTCATCAAATGCTAAACGAAAGAGATGAAAGGAAAGCCCAAATATTCACTGGTACCAACATTTCCCCTAGGATGAAAGGCAGCTCTCTGACCAAGTATTGACAAGGAGAAATCACATCAGTACCCACTGAGCCTTCCCAATGTTCTCTCTCAACAACTTCCTTCACATGTCTTTGGAATTAAAGTAGGAATTCGCAGATTTGGAAGGAGTAAATGTTGACAAGCAAAGCTATTAAATTGCTATAGGTTCTTTTAAAATCATTAATGTAGCAATACAGAATGTTTGGATAAACATGTTTTCGTATATTACATAATGTGTAATATATTAAAGCTTTTAAGAATTAATAGATTTTTATCTTTTAAAAGTCTAATTACTTTTTATTTGGTCTTTTTGAGACAGGGTCTCCCTATAGCCCCAGCTGGACTTTAACTCACTGTGTAGCCCAGGCTGTACTTAATTTCATAGAGATCCACCTGTCTCTGCCTCCCCAGTGCTGGGATTAAAGCAAGCATCGCCATGCCCAATTTTAATTACTCTTTACATTGAATCTCTCTTTAGTTTTTCTTTAGCTACCTACAATCCATATTTAAAGGATCTCACAAGCACAAACAAGAGCACGAATAAGAGACTCAAATTACCACTAGGTCTGTGTTGCTCTGTTTCATACACATCAGACTCAAGGATTGTTTGCTCTTTGCCCATCCTTTACCATTCCACTGCTTAAATGTTTTCACCTTGCCCCACTTGGCATCCCCTTCCCCTCCTTAATGCATCTGCTCATCTGTCTTTTTCATCCTTTCCAAGACTTTTGCTGTCAATTATGAAGCAATAGTTTAATCCTGCTGTCAGTTATCCACTGCTATACTCAGCGTAAAGTTCATGCTACCTGGGGTTGTTGAGGGAAACACACACACACACACATGTTTATATATGTACACATTTATGTGACTGTAAGCTGGTATAGACTTTGAGATATGGGAAAAATATTTAAAATAAAAATAATATTAAATCCAGTCAGGAGAAGTACTATAAGTAACAATGGTCATAAGAGAAATATTATGTCATGAGTCCAATCTTAGCTTATTCTGTAAATATTAAAGACATTACAAACTTCTTGGACATTGTTACTTGATAAAATTAACATATAAAAATAGGAATCCAGTGTTACTAAATCTGTATGCAGGTCCTCATAATACATGTTTTTCCACTTTCTTGTAAAATCTGTACTATGACAGTAAAGATTGTGGGAAATGTAAATTAATGAATATTAATTCATTTCTTCTGCTTCTCATTCCCCTGCTTATAGATACACTTCTCAGACCTGAGTGCACACCAAGAGAATTTATTAAAATTCTGGATGTTCCATTTTATGAATCATACTCTTAAATTAATTACAAAAATCAGTAATAAATATTACACATTCAGGTTGTTGAACCCTGCTCCCCATGTTTCTGACCCCATGGGACCCAGTCCTAAATATCTGCTTTTCTAAAAAGTTAATAAATGATACCCTCATTATGATTTAGGAAGCATATTTTATTGCCTCCACTTTAAAGGGTGAAATAATTTTGTTTCTCTTCTTCAGTGGTATGGTTGATTGGTTGTGAGTGACTCCTCATTGATGAAATCACATGCATCAAGCATCAGGGCTGTCTGACTTCATCAATAGATAACCAAATATGCAACAATAAAGAAGGGATATATGCCACAAAGATGCATTTAGAAGGAATATACCAAGTGTGCATTAATATGTTACTTATTCTATCATGATAATATCACATTCTATAATTAAGTATTGAGGTTTATTCTGAGTCAAATGCATGTGGTAACTAGTTGATACAACAGGGAACACAATGCCTTTTCTCATGGAGTCTACCAGACACTGTGTTTCATTTTCAGTTTTCAGGAATTAAGTCTTAGGAACATGTTGTTTTTGTACATTATGAGTTGTACATATTTTTTATCTGATATCGAGGAAATTTTCTCTAGGGACAGATCAGCCAAAAGTACTCCATATTGTAAATATGCACAACTGTTTTATCTTTCTATAATACATTTCTTAAGATGTGATTATGCGAACAAGATAAAATGAGAAATTGTTTCAACTAAATGACAAACTTGCCGTTTTCTTCAGTTATCTGATTTTTGTTTCATAAAATGATAGGAACAAATACAGTGATCGCCTCTGTGATGTGGTGTCCTAACTACTGACCTAAAACAAGGCTTTCTGTTGCTGGATCTCATCCTTGTTAGATTGAAAATGTAAAATAGCAAAATGGGGTATATTATTAACCATTTAGTACTCATCTTCTCCACTAGTTTTAGTTTATAAAGCAAGTTCTTAAACAGTCATGAATATTTAAAAAATTTCTTTCTTTGGTAATGATACGTGAACCTGAAAGTTTCCTTTATTTCCATATCACATTAAAAATCAAGCATTCAGATGATCATCCATTTGTGTTTTTCCTGTTAAACTCTAATAGTTTATGGTTGATGAATGCATATATTCCATGCATATAAAATATGATTTCACCAATTTTGGAAAAATCATAATTTGTTCCTTTGGGCATTGATATAATACATCAGTGTGAATAAAATAGTCCCAAACATTATTTGTGGTTGCTAAGAATTTATATTCAAGTTTTGAAAATTAATATCTGAAACATGATAATTCAGTCCAAACAGTTCCACTGCCATTGGATGAAGATGAAATGCTGTTTCTAATATCTCCTTTTAGTAACATCTTCAAGGGATCTGCAGTGTGCATGTACAGCATGAGCGATGTAAGAAGGGTGTTTCTTGGTCCATATGCTCACAGAGATGGTCCCAACTATCAGTGGGTACCTTATCAAGGAAGAGTCCCCTATCCACGGCCAGGAACGGTAAGTGGCTCAGATGCGTAACAGATTAAATGAATATATTTCTAGCAAAGATAAGAAATAATTGCAGATGTAAACATTAAATAGTCACAGTGTAAGTTCAATATTCCAGGACAGAATAAAAACAAGTCTGAGATTTTCTGATTCCCTACAGTTTCTCATATAAAGTGATGACAACTGTACCTGCCAGTAAGTGCTCCCAGTTCAATGGCCCTAATTTCTGAGATACTGGAAGTAGTTGGGAAGCCTTTGTACTTTCTTTCTGAATGGACACAAGGAAAATGGCTTTCAGGAAAGGTTGAACCAAATAGGGTATATCTAGGCTAGTTCTCTCTGATGTAGGAAGACTGCTTGTTCTGACAGTAGGGTAGAGTTTATTCAGAGAAAAAATATTTTAAAAATCAATGTAATCATCCCATGGGCTTTGGACAGACCTGTCAAAAGAGGTGAAAAAGATATATGAAAACCATATACATCAGAACACAGCAGGGCTATATATTAAACAATCACTGTCCATTTTACACATTTACCTTGCCTTTTTCCCTTCAGTAATTTGGCCAGAGTCAGCATAGAATGAAAAATTTTACAGAACTGAAAATCAACTTTGAATATCTCATTTAAAGTGCAAGGATGAGGATTAAAGGATAAAAAGACCAACAAGATGGCTCAGTAGGTAAAGATATTGCTGTCAGGTCTGGCAACCTGAGTTTGATCCCTGGAACCTAAGTGGTGGAAGGAGAGAACTTACTTCAATCGCTTGTCCTCTGACCTCTGTGCATACACACAGACATGAACACACAAAGACATATACACATGCTAATACACACATGCACACACACACACACACACACACAAACACTTGAATCAATGTATATAAATATTTTTTTTAAAGCATAGAAGCCAGGGGTGTTGGCTCAGGCTTTTAAGCTTAGCACTCACTTGAGAGAAGCAGAAGCAGGCGGATCTCTTTGAGATTGAGGCTAGTCTGATCTTTGTAGTTCCAGGTCAGCTGGGGCTACAGGGAGACCATGTCTCAAAAAACCAAACCACCAAACAAACAAAAGCACATAGAGAAATGCATCAATATAATAATCCAGAAATGTCAGAGTCAGTTCAAAGTCAGAGTAACATATTATTCCTACAATCTACTGACAAATTATACATAACAGATCAAGAAATATATCTCTAGATAAGGGTTATTTGAGACCAACTGGTCATTACCCAAGGTTTATCTGCATGACACACAGTAATTAAAAATGCCAGAATGGTGGAACTAACCTTCTTGGATATTTAAC